CACCCTGGTATATGGAGTGGCAGCAGGGGCCAAGCCTAATGTGAGCAAGAGTACCTGCCTGGTACTGGGCAAATTTGGGGACCTATCAGCCCTGGGGGTCTCCATCCCCCGGAAGGGGATATAGAGCTTCAGGGTGGAGTTTGACCCAGAGCTGAACAGGCAGAAGACATGGGAAAAGACCCAAGCCAAAATTAAGTAGAGACTGAGACTTTGGAATATGGTCCACATGTCAATGAGGGGGTGCATGGTGCTCATCAGGGTGGTGTTGTTATCCGTGCTTCTGCACATCATGCTGGTCTTCCCTGACTCAGAGCAAGTCATCTAACCTGCTCATGTACAGAGTGCACTGAAGCAGTTTTCTTCATGACTGTGATGGGTAAAAGAGATGGTGACAGGCATGTGGGCATGCAGGTGCATGGTTGTAGCTATTGTAACCTGGATGATACTTAGATTCTACACCTGAAAAATTATAATTTATAAATTATCCATGCATAGAATCTAATTATTGGGAGGTCATCTTATAATCAGGGTCATCTTCTATTTGAGTAGATATAGTATTTTCCATTTATCCCAAAGAAAAAGTGGAGTGGGCACAAAACACACACATTTACTTTGAAAATGTTGTTCTCTGTTATAAAGTGGCTCTAAGTAAAGAAACTCCAGTGTACCTGTCATGAGCCTGCTACCACTGCCAATTTCACTCCAGATTGGCCATTTACACCATATAAACTACCTTTCCTGCCATCTAATGGCTGGGTGCTGAAATAGCATCTATTTATCTATTTCAAAAACCCTATAGGTGCCTATAACAGGGAATTCTGGCCCTGTTACTGGGCACTGGTGCAGCCCGTATAAGGGCAGAGTCTTTATAACACAGACAACCAGCAGAGCAGGGGTTAAAGGACAGCCAGGTCAGCTGACTGGGACCTCACATGACTATATGAGGACTCAGGAAACAGCTGTATAAGTCCTAAGATCAAGCCAGTCAAGGAGGCGAGCCCTGAGAGTCATGGAGTGCGGAGCTCCTGTCAGCAGAATGGCGGGGCGCCTAAATCTACAAGGAGGCTGGAAGAAAGCAGCTCTTCAGGATTGGGAGCAACAAAGAGCTACCTGGTAGGGTGGGGAGGGGAAGGAGAAAGGGAGAGAGAGAGAGAGAGACTTGTTAAGCAGGCAAGTAGCCTTCATTTTTTATGTTAATACCGGTGGCTTGGGTTTGAGACTAGAGGGGTAGCTTGGAGGTCCCATTAATGACCTTGGGGCACATGATTTTTTTGAGCCCTGCTGGAGGCAGATTCAAGGCAGAGTGGAAACTGGGGCCCAGAAGCTAGGCCTAGAGCAGGGAGCCTGGGCTGCGGGACCAGACAGAGTACAGGAGTGGAAACCAGGAAAGCTAAAACCCCAACAAAGGAAGGAAGGCCTACAGTGGCCTGGAAATGAAGAGACAAGTGTCCTACCCAATTGGTCACTCAAAGTCTGTGAGGCATGGGGCATGGTGTAGGGAAGGTATGGAGACATGCAATTAGCCCTTAAGGCAAGGGACCACAACCACCAAGTGTTCCTTAGAGCAAGA